TATCTATCTATCTATCTATCTATCTATCTATCTATCTATCTATCTATCTATCTATCTATCTATCTATCTATCTATCTATCTGTCTGTCTATCCATCTGTCTATCTATCTATCTTATAGAATTAATATCTAATATTTAATCTAATTTAATATTGTAAAGTTGTAAGTGTAAAAGCTTTTTTCTAAATTTTCAAAATAAAGAATGTAAGGAAAATATGGGTCATTCCGCATATGTCTCAATTTTTCTAATTGAATCTATATATTAAATATATATAATTCAAATGCAGTGATATGTAATGACAACATTCTCATGTTATCACAACAAATCTTTCACCTTCATTTTTGAGTGGACCAATTTTTTAAATGGCCATATGATGGGTGTGTGCATTTTTGAGTGGACCAATTTTTTAAATGTCCATATGATGGGTGTGTGCGTGTGTGTGTGAGATTGCAGAATTATGGAGGAAGAACACAGCATAGAGAGTCTCTTGTTTGCACACTGACCTACAGTAGCAACCCTGAGGCCAGCGCGTCTATCAGTCCCTTACCACCCAACTGGTTCCCAGCAGCTCCAGTATAAAGCTCCATTGTCATTGTCATGATGGATGTCGTGAGACGCCATCATCAATTCACTGCTCTTGTTTTCCATCAGGTCTCCACTGTGTGGATGTTGGTTTACTGCATTTATTTCACAGACGTCTCACTGTGCAGATTAGGGCTAAATTAATTGGGCTATCTCAACTGACCATGGGTATCAGTGTGAGTATGAATGGTTGCCGCTCTCTGTATATGTGACCCTTATTATAGAGGCCGTAGTGGATTAGTGGGTAAGGAAGCAGACTTGGGTCTGGAAGGCTTCAGGTTTGAGTCCCACATTTGCCAACGATTTTTTTTTATATATATATTGACTGATGAATTGTTTTTGACTTGGGTCTTATACCTAAAACAGCAGGGCCAATAATTATGATGAATTGTTTTTGACTTGGGTCTTAAACCTAAAACAGCAGGGCCAATACTTAACAGTATATATATATAAAAATATATATACAGATATACACATGTATGATTGCCTATTTATTGCTGTATTATTTATTATGTTGTGTTTATATATGTATATATTGTCACTACAGGTACATTCATAGTATTAGTTAAGAAGACCCGGGACACCCTAAATTGCATTAGCATTAGCACCTGGCTGGGAACCCCCCAAATCCACAGACAATGCTACAAAATATGTAAAGTAACATCAACTTTTAGAATGTGTTTTTCATTAATTTTTGTATTCACTATTTAATTATTATTGCATTCGTTAAGCATAAGAACATTGTTTTCAGCGTGCCTGTTGGTCTGCTACTTCTCTGTTGACAGTGTCATCCCAAATTTGCGCCCCCAAATCCAGGTGCGTTCAGGTACCATCGGAAGCTTCAAGAATCTGACGTTTGAATCTGACGTTGATAGACGGTTGTAAAAAGGGTTTAGGGTTTGCTTTTTTTTCCCCCCCTCAATTTGATAAACACTGAGGTAAATTACAGGAAAGTGAACTACTTGTCAAGGTGACAGCACACAACCAAATTTGACCTCTGCTTTTAATCCATCACCAAAGGTGAACAGTGGGCAGCTTTAAGTGCCCCGGGGAGCGGTGTGTAGGGACGGTGCCACACTCGAACCTGAAGCCTTCCGGACCCCACCTCTCACTCCCTTACCACCCAGACCCCCCCCCCCGTAAAAAAAAAAAAAAAAAAAAAAAAAAAAAAACAAAAACAACAAAAAAACAGAACAAAAACTCAAAGTGCAAGGCCAAAACAACAACAAAAAAAAAACCCTCACTTCTTCACAAGACCAGGAACAAGGCATAAACCAGACAAGGAATAAACTACTAAGTACAAACTAAGAACTCGAAGGACACACTAAGATGAGCACAGGAACAGATACAATGATCCAACCCAGACAGAGTGAGGGAGAGTGAGGGGAGTGAGGGAGAGGAGTTTCCTGCTCCTGCGCAGGAAACTGGTGGATGCAGGAGCAGGGGAGCCGCTCGCCGAGTG